GCGTGGTAAGCCCGCTCCATACACCCACCGGAGGTGGTGGGGAGGGAAAACCCTAGAATCCAGTATGGAGATAGCTTGTTGTCAGCTCGTCACTCTGATTTAATGACCAGATGGCAAGGATGTGTGGACAGGAGACCAATATCCAGCACGTACAAGCAATTAAACTAGTTCACAAACTAAGCAATTATCACAATTAAGCTGGGTCCGACCACATCGCTTCTAATAAATAACTTTTGCCAAGTAAGTAATTATTATTATCCGCGTGTTGCGAAAAGTTCACTGATATTTGATACATGAAAATGCTACCGAGAAGAGGTGGGAATTGCATAGATATCTAGCGGAAAATGCAACATGTTTTCAATATTTAATAAGCTAAATATATTAGTCAAAAGATAAAGCTTTCGATATTTTACTATAAGATAAAGAGTCTTTCTTTACGATAGAAATAATACACTTTATTCACAGGGCAGTTCAGTATGTTCAGTCTAAAATATTCTATAGAGAAGCTACAATTTCCCTCGTGACTCGAACTTCAGTATATCGAAATCCATTTTCCTTATCAAAACAATTGCGATATATGTACATTCACTTGCTTCCCATCTATATGACTTGGACCAATTGACCCCTAATGGCAGAGAGAGAAAGAGAGAGTAAGAAAAACAATCTTAAAGGGCAACGCAAGTTCTAGCCAATTTTGCAGTATATTTGCTTATCACATTCAGATTGCAGGGCAAAATCAAAGAAGAGCCAACAACGAAATTGTATGGCATCTGGCGGAAACGGAGTAAATGGAAGGAAAGACCAAGAAGGGAATCAAATTACTTTGGCTTGGTCGCAAAGTGGTTAATTTCAGACTGGCTGTGGTGGGCGTGACCTGTGTGAGGGCGGTCTAAGCCAATTTGCGCTCTATTGTCCAGTTAATAAATAGTTTGGGATGTTTGTTTGGGTTCATACGAGTTTCTGGACTTGGTTTTTATTATGGGATTTTCTTCTTGATGAAGTGCATTTGAAGGAGTCCAAAGACTGGAGACAGTTCAGAGAGTCATAAGGTGCTTCGATTGACACTTTTAAGAAACATATTTCAACGCAAGATAAAATCTACGCTTTAAAATCTTTATAATAATTCTATTCTTTGAAAATAGCATTGGGCTTATCGAATTTCAGGTGAAGTTGAATAAAGTGGGTATAGATTGTGTAATTTTTAAATTATTCTAGGTTGACGATTGCAAATTTCATTAATATAATATATCTAATTAAAAGATATATATCTTAAATGAGTAAAATTATAATATTTATAAATTTTTTTTAGCTTCGATTGAGTCTGTGAAACAAGAACCAACCCTGTGAGATCTGGTAAAAATACAAAGCAAAATAAAATGGATAGCTTTTAAATTTGAATAACCCAGAGGGACTTTCTAGTCCTGTCTCGTCCTGGTCATCCATTACAAATGTTGGCACACTATCTAGGTAAATAATTCACTCCCAAGTTACTCCTTTTTTGTGTGTTAGCCATTCGCTTCGTTACCCGTTACCCTTTTCTCACCTGCCGGAGCATGACAGACAGGAGCAGGTTCAGAATGTAATAAAGAGCTTACAATTTATGACACCTCGGCAGAAGTGGAGGCGTTTGGACGAAGGATTCCTTGTGCTTAAGCTGTGCTGGAGTTGTTGTCACCTGCGGAAGCTCGGAGGTAAACTGCTGGCACCTGTTGATTGCTCGCCTGTCATCTATACATATTTTATCATATTCGGTTGGTTTGAAACCGACATCTGGATTTCTTGCGGCACAATTGGACCTTACGGGCCGAAACCATTAAAAGGGACACCTCAATCCCCGGCTTAATTACACAATGTAGTGGGATATAAAAGGTGCAACTAGTTCTGCCTTTGGTTTTAATTTCATTATATCCTATCCGGTCCTTTTTCTGTCAGTTTAATTTGGCGGAAAATTGCATGGGGCAGCTAATTAAGTTTCACAAGACAAGACAAGATAAATTATTTGACCGCCAGGTGCCGTCCCCCGATTGACCTAGCCACCCCACCTCGGTGGGAATATACTGCCTCCCGATTTTCCGCCTGCGGCCATGTTATTGTAACAACTTCTTCATTTGATTGTTTTCGTTTGTTTGTTGTGGCTGAATGCCACAGTGTGTGAGTGTGCCCCAAAATTGTGGCATTGACATTCGCCGGAAGCCAAGGAAAAACATTTTCCGACGGCTTCTGCTGGGCCCGACACTTCTGTCTGGCATTTGTAAATCAGTTTGCACCCCGAGCCGGGGTCCGAGCCTCCATATTATTGTTGACTTGCTAACTCAAATCAATATCGACACACACTCTTACACACCCACCCACACTCACACAGTGACTGCAATTGAATTTGAATAATTCGGATCTGTTTCGATTTAAACTTTGTGGCAGGTCACATACATTATTACCGAAGGAGCAGTTGTTCTTTTATTACCGGAACTTTTGGCTTTTCATACCCTACGCTCTAAATTATTAATATTACATTTTCAGCCTTTAAATAATTAAATGGGAACAATCAAATTTTAATCCAGGTAAATTGCCTAAGCCGGGCAAATGTGTCAAAATTAATTACAAAATGCATACACATCGGTTTAATTAATGCAATTCCCGATGTTATATTGTGTGGCCTCACCTGTTGCAATTATTTATGCAAAAGTGACTTGGCCAACACATTTTGGCAACGGATGTGTGTGATGGGCGGAAACTGATGACAAATGTTTTAATACTCTATGTACATTGCATTTTCATCCTATTTTTGGCCCAGCAAAAGTGCAGGTCCAGAAATAACTGACTAGCAAATGAAATATTGAAAAGTTTAACTAACAACCCTGGCTAACTGGATGCGAACGGGTTTTGGGTTGCCCCTGGAAAAACGGAAAACACGGAAAAACACTCGAGACCCATTTTGCATTATAAATGACAAATGAACTTTTAGAAAATTCCTGTGTTAAGTTCGGGAATAGGGAATGTGCTGAATGGCGTCAATGCGAAATATTGACATACACTATTAACAAAGCCGAATTGGGGCCCAGGATCCGTATAAAAGTTAAGTATTCTTTTAACGAGAATTACCAAATCTAAAAAATTGTAAAGGCCAATAAGATTTTGTTGGGCTTGTTAGATCATGCCCCCTTGGGACTTAGGGTTACGAATTCTGATGTAGAAAATGTATACATAATAAAAAAAAATACAAAAAATTAGGACTATGCTTCACAACTTTTAATTATTATAGCAACACGTTGCTGCTCTTTCTTGATTATAAAAATAATATATAAAGTTATAAAGTTTTGTTTTATTAATATTTTATTATATTTATTGTATATTTCAAGTTCAAATTTGGTAATATTTTGGTAGTGAATATATATTTAATATAAGGCTAAAATATCTAGCTGGCATTATTGAGGTTAAATGGTATTATTACCAAAATAATTTCTCTACCACATTGCATAGGGTTAAATATATTTTTATAATGCTTCTAATACTTTTCTAATTTTTTGGTTTTATCAAATGTATATTTGTTTTGGACTTGTCTGTATTCAAATTATGTAAAATCCCTGTTCTGATAGCCATCTACAAGAGGCGTGCCCAATCTGCCACAGCATTATGTTGTTTAAATTACTTGAGTTCCTGTCTTGTGTTTTCATCTGATTGTGCCACTTCTGTTTCCGCATTTTATTAGCCATGTGTCATTAAAGTTAACGCCTCCTTCTCTTTTGGGAGTCCCAAGCTGAAGGAAACCCAACAATTTTATAATTCGGTTCTATTCGTATCATTGAATAACAATCTTAATTCGAAACCTTGTGTGTTTGCCTGTTTTTTGCTGCGTAATGACAATGTTATTCCATAGAAGAAACTTGGATACAGTGTTTGGATAATAAAACTTCTTAGATAAATAAAATTATACAAAAAAATTTGTATAATTATGTGAGAAAACGAATAAAGAAGTCAATATTTTCGATAACTCAAAGTTTTAAAACCCGTAAAGTAAATTTTTTATTTGGAAAGCTATTTTATGCTAGTTTTGTTTAGGTCAATAAAGTTTGTTAAAATTTGTTGTCAAATTTTCCAATTTTAACGATTTAACCCCTTTTATATTTTTTATTTATAAAAAAATTTAACATTTAATTTTTCTCATGTCGTTGCTGATCAACAATATATATGATTTTTAGGGTCGGAAATGGGTCCTTCACAGTGTTACAAGCTTCTGACTGAGTTTATAATACCCTGTAAGGTAGTACAAACACAACAAGAAAAAAAGGCTATGCCGTCTACTAATTTTATTTCTTTTGTTTGTTTTTAAACCTATTGAAACTTGACCAAGCTTATTCATTTTATTGAATCAAGCCCGAAATAATTTCAGGCACTGGTAATAGGTTATTCATTTTTTTACACTCTAAAAGTCAGTTTTAAATTGATTGACAATTATTGGTCTTTTATGAGTTTTGTTTGGCAAAGTAGCTAATGTCGTTTTGATATGGGTAACAGCGGCTTTAACTTTAAAAGCAGCCAGACTGTGAACAAAACATAAATACTTTGAATACTTTATGATTGCTGTCTAAAGGCAATAAGTTGTTGTTTTTTCTTGTATTTGCAATTTTGTCTATATAAATGAAAATAATAATTTTCTAATTTAATATATAACCAATAATTTCAGAAAATATCATAAGTGCACAGTAAAAGTATTAATTAAGTGTATCAACATTGTCCCTATAAAAATTGAATTATATTTAAACGTTAAATAAGTTAAAATCGGCAAAACTAAGACCAATTAGTAGCTGAAATTATTATTTTCTATAGTTTATAAAGTTTTTTAAGTTTATCAAAAGTTCACTTCTCAAAATATGTATTTGATACTTTTCTTCTTATTCTTATAATATTTGCAGTATCGCGAAGGAAAAGTGTTTGTATATTTTAAAAGAATAAGCTATTCTGTTCTTTCGAGAACATTTAAATATTGTTATTTTATAGCTCACCTGTTATATAATTCAACACTGTTTAGTATTTAAATTCAAATAATGCGAGCACTGATTTCAATGGATTTTTTAACTTTAGTCTTTCAATTCTATTCAAATGGGAGCGCACAAATGTATACTACACTTTTTCCCCACAAAACAGAAGAGGGGCAAAAAGTTGAACTCCAAAAACACACGGAGTGCAGTTGAAAACTATTTTTTTGAATTTCCTTTAGGGTTCTGTATCTTTTCTCAGCTGTCAGTTGAGGTTCTTTCGAAGCGCGCCGAACGAATGCAACGTTCCCGAGGCTTACGACTCGCTTTATAGCCATCCACAAAAGCCGAAACGCTCCCGAATTTGAAACGGAAACCGAGTCGATTCGGATGCTCCACGAAGTCAACCATGTCGGCATTTCCCGTTCAACCTCAACTGGTTGCTCCTGTTGCTTCTTCAATCGGAAGCTTTTCCAGCTAGCCGGCTGTCCCTCAGGTTTGGGTCTAGGCTTAAGCTTTAGCGCCAACGCAATTTTCCTGGCTACCTGTGACGTCAGCGGGTCGGGGTCGCGGTGATTTAAAGCTATGCTAGCTGGCTGCCATTCGCTGGAATCGGAATTGGGCAAGTTGTTGTTGGTTAGCCTTTCACCTACGCATCCCACACAAACACACATACACACATCAGTAGGCGGCGCCTACGTAGTTGGTCCCTAAATCAACCCAAAGTCACACATAGCGATGCAGGATATGAAAAGTCGGACATTGCGTTCATCTTAACTGTCAAAATTATTTGTAGGCATTAGGTAGTGGTCAGTTAGTGAGAAGTCTATTCAAATCAAAGTCCACAAACCATGACATTTAGGTGTAATTTTAAAAATATCCAAATAATTTACATCTTTCAAGCGAATGTACAGTTACGGCCTTAATCCTGGGTACACTTTTTTATATTTCAAAAGTATATACATTTAAAAAGGCTCTCCCTGTTTCTGGTGTGACTTTCCCCTCGGAATATTTTAAATTCCATTTGTTCAGCTGTATTTGCTTTTCACATTTGACATTTGGCCGCCTAATGAGCAAGGACATCGCTTAAAATGAAAGACAATCTGGTGTTCGATGGCGGCGATTCCTATGGAATGGAAAAGATAAATATTACGCAGGCGCCATGTTGCCCAATTGCATTATAGTCATGGCAAAAAAAAAGTTTGAGTCGCCAACTGATTAAAGAAAAATATAATTTACAATTACAATTATCACTTTAAATATGAGAACTAACAAGCTACTCTCAGATTCGCTTCATGTGGAAATAATATTATACTACATTATGTTATTTTAACATTGGTCTTAAGTATAAAATTCGTCACTACTTTGTAGCATCATTATTTGTTTGAATGTTAATTTTAGGATATTTCATACACATCTTTACCTTTCAACGTCACAAGTCGTTCGTTATTTATTTTAAAAAAATCGCATTAAGATTTTGAAAAATATAAACGTTAAAGGAATTAATATATTTTGCAAAGAGCCCATGCTGGTTTACATGATGCTGTCCGAAGTTTGGGACGAAAGGATACCCAGACTGCAATGCTTGCGGCTATAGTCCTTGGTGGTATTTTCCTGCGGTAGTTTTCCCATTTGCATTAGAAGCTCGTCGATGCGTTCCGTCTTTAATTTGAGAATGTTTTCCATGTGAATTAGCCGCTGCTGGAACGTATCGATGATATCGTCCTTGGCCTTGCATTCGCGGTTCACCTCCTCGTATATGGAGTATAGAATCATCTTCTGGGGCACCTGAACGATGGCGTCGCCAATCTGCTTGTTCACCAATATGGTCTTAACCTCATCGTTCTCCTCCCAGACTCGCTCCTGCCGCAACACCGCATTGCGTTCCTCTTCCAAGCGCTGCCGCTTCTCCAGCCGGATCACCTCATAGAGCAGCACTTCGGCAGCGCCTTCGATGCCGTTGGCCAGGAGCTCCATGAGTTCCCTGCTGAGAGACAGGTTAAATTTGGACATCACCTTGTAGTTGAAGGTCTCCCAGTTGACCAGCTTCAGATTGACACTGCACTTCTTTGGGTAGTTGTACAGGTCGATCAGTCGGGGATGGTTGCGCTTCAGTATCTCGGCGAGGGGCAGGACATCGGAGAAATCACGCCGTAGCTTCTTGCTATTGATTTCGTTCTTTTCGAGCCACACGTTCAACTCCTCCACCTCCCCGTCGGTCAAGCGTTTGTTACCGATAATGTGCATTATTAAGGGATAGATAGTTTGCTTATTAATAACGAAGACAATTTTTTTTTTAGTTTTTGATTTCGCTTTTGTGTAAGATACACACGTTGAGAGAGGCCAGAAAAGATAAGGGTTTGCTGCGAAAGCAAAGGCAAAGATTACTTTCCCGAGTGAAGTCAAGGCAGAGATTTGGGTGGACATTAGTAGGTTCGGAAAAATGTTGTAGCTTGTACTCACTACAACCTATTTTGTATTTTAATACAGTTTATTAATGATTAAGAGTAATGAATGAGAATTGCTAGGACTAGGCGACTAGGACTAGGTGAATCAAAAACTTAGTGGAAAAAGACACCAGAAAACCTATAGCTTAGGCCATGATTCCTTACCAAAGCTATCATTAAGGTAGAAAGACAGATGGATATATTTTCATGTTATTTGTCATATATATGTAAATATGTTTGCTTAAAACTAAGTTATATTTATAATAACTGTATCCTTTACTGGTTTTAAAAAGACAAGCTAAAACGAATTAAATACTTTTCCATAAACTTAAATAAAAAGGACGGCTGTAATTTACATATTTAGTTTTAGATTATGTTTTTACAAGCATCATTACTACTTAATAACTCTTTACATTTTACTTGTCTCTAAATTACGTTTACACAATTTCCCTCTTTGCGTTTGAGCTTTGGGTGCTATGGTTTAAGCTTGTGATTCCCGATTTTTCCACACCATGAGCTTGAATTTGTACAAGGAATTTCTGTAAATAACGGTCACTAAGGTTCGGTATTGATGGTCAAACACTTATTATTTTTTCTGGCTAGCAAAAATATTAGATAAACAGAATGTACACTGGTCGACAATGGTACCAATGTGGAAATCGAGTAACACCTAGCCCTAATGTCAGAAGCCATACGAATAGTCAGGTATATTTTTCAAATCCGACAACAGAAAAAAAAACGTTTGTATTAACTTTCTGCAGAAACCTTTGAAAATATCAAGTAAAATTAAAAGTGTGTAAAGGTAAAGGGTTTTGAATTGATTGAAGTTAAGTTCAGGTCAAATAATAAATTTGTATATTAAAACGGCTTTAGAATTGGCCTTTTGTTTTTTACTAAAATATTATGATCTTCTTCAATTAGACTAACAAACTTCAACGGCAGAACTAAGAGATCTTATGATAATTTAATTTCCAAGGAAAGTCTTTGATTTCTTCAAGTCCGACAAAAGATCAAACTACTTTCGTGCTGATTTACTTTAAAGATATCAGGTAAGATAAACACCTATAGGGTTTTGTCCCAATTGCCTCAATAAACGTATAAAAATCAACGATTTCTTTTCTTTTTCCAAGTAGCACACTTAAACGATGTCCCAGAATTATAGCATTATTCCGGGAACAAAGCTCGAGGACTTGGTGGCCTGTCCCTACGACAGCAACTATCGCCTGCTTCCCAGTCGCCTGGCCGTGCACCTTGTACGCTGCGGACGCAACTATTCTTCCAAACAGAAGGAGCTGTGCGGGCAAACTTGCGCCCAAATCCACTCGATGATGGAGATGAAGGCGCATGCTAAAGTCTGCCCAAATGGGTGTGCATTAGAAAAGGCTATGAATCCGGTCATGGTGACACAGGAGAAGGCACAACCTTCCGATTTCTGTATGGAGTCTACTGAGGACTGGGATGCTGAGCCACCATCAGGAACATACGATCCGTTGGACCATTGCGAAAAGGACTTTATCATTCGCAATCCCCAGGGAAATGCGCCGGCGGCACGTCGCGAGTTTCGTGCTCGCGAGCGCCGTCGTTTCGTCGAGAACAACAAGTTCTAGGATCTGGATATTCATCAAAACCGACTTTTCCTTATTACCAAAATCTTATAAACTTTTATAATTGTAATTATAAATTTACATTAAGCACATGTCTTGGAGTTTGTAAAATTTAAACCATTCATTGAACAACAATTGTACGGATTACTAATTTTATTTTTTAATTTGATTCCTATAAGATAAGTAAACTTAGTTAATTTGATCAAATTTAACCTTTTAGCCTGCGGGATGTTTTATAGAAGGGTTCTATTTAAATAATTTCCTTAAAGTGTTACCATGTAGCTTATCTCAATTCAGATCTCTATGGATATATGCGTTGCATATGCATCTTCATTATTATTACAAAAATCCCAGATTGAGTTGTTAGTTAATTTCTAAGATGTTAATATGTTCACCTCATGCACAGTGCCGTACGTAAGGTAGAAAAAGATTTATAGGGTCGGAAATAACTCCTTCACTTAGTTTCAACCTTCTGACTAAAATGAGTCAATTTTTATCAATTTTTTTATATGACAATTTTTTCAATATATCAAATTTTAAAAAATTCATAACTAAGCCAAAAATGCATTAATTTTAATTCCTTGAGTCGATATTTATCTATTTTATATGACAATTTTATCAATAAATCAAATTTTAAAAAATTCATAGCTAAGCCAAAAATGCATTAATTTTAATTCGGAAACCTGTCCTACTCTAGTTTTTATTATGGCAATAAAACTGCATACTCAATTTAAAGCGTTAAAAAGTGAAAATTTGTGTCGATTTTTGACAATTTTAATGATGTAACCCCTTATCGTTTTTTGCAAAAATGGAACAAAATTTCAAAAAATGTTTTTCAACCGTAGATAGCTAGATCGATTCAGCTGTTTATGCTGATCATGAACATATATGATTTATGGGGTCGGAAATGACTGCTTCACAGTTTTATAAGCGTCTGACTAAACGTATAATGCCATGTTTTCAGTCGGTGTTTATTTTATAGGACAATTTTAGCAATAAATCAAATTTAAAAAAAATCATAGCCAAAGATGCATTAATTTTAGTTTGGAAACCTGTCCTACTCTAGTTTTTATTATGCCAACGAAACTGCATACTCAACTAACTCGGAAATGAGTCCTTCGCAGTTCTACAAGCTTCTGACTAAAGTTATAATACCATTCTTTAAGTCGATATTTACCTATTTTTTATGACAATTTTATCAATAAATCAAATTTTAAAAAATTCATAGCTAAGCCAAAAATGCATTAATTTTAATTCGGAAACGTGTCCTACTCTAGTTTTTATTATGGCAACGAAACTGCATACTCAATTTACTCGGAAATGAGTCCTTCGCAGTTCTACAAGCTTCTGACTAAAGTTATAATACCATTCTTTGAGTCGTTATTTACCTATTTTATATGACAATTTTATCAATAAATCCAATTTAAAAAAAGTCATAACTAAGCCAAAAATGCATTAATTTCAATTCGGAAACCTTTCCTGTGCAAGTTTTTATTATTGCAATAAAACTGCATACTCAATTTAAAGCGTTAAAAAGTGAAAATTTTTGTCGATTTTTGACAATTTTAATGATCGTTTTATCGTTTTATGCAAAAATCGAACAAAATTTCAAAAAATGTTTTTCAACCGTAGATAGCTAGATCGATTCAAATGTTGATGCTGATCATGAACATATATGATTTATGGGGTCGGAAATTACTCCTTCACAGTTTTATAAGCTTCCGACTAAACGTATAATGCCTTTTTTCAGTCGGTATTTATTTTATAGGACAATTTTAGCAATAAATCAAATTTTAAAAAATTCATAGCTAACCCAAAAATGCATTAATTTTAATTCGGAAACCTGTCCTACTCTAGTTTTTATTATGGCAACGAAACTGCATACTCAACTTACTCGGAAATGAGTCCTTCGCAGTTCTACAAGCTTCTGACTAAAGTTATAATACCATTCTTTGAGTCGATATTTACCTATTTTATATGACAATTTGATCAATAAATCAAATTTTAAAAAATTCATAGCTAAGCCAAAAATTCATTAATTTTATTTCGGAAACCTGTCTTACTCTAGTTTTTTTTATGGCAATGACTGCATACTCAATTTACTCGGAAATGAGTCCTTTGCAGTTCTACAAGCTTCTGACTAAAGTTATAATACCATTCTTTGAGTCGTTATTTACCTATTTTATATGACAATTTTATCAATAAATCCAATTTTAAAAAAGTCATAACTAAGCCAAAAATGCATTAATTTCAATTCGGAAACCTTTCCTGTGCAAGTTTTTATTATGGCAATAAAACTGCATACTCAATTTAAAGCGTTAAAAAGTGAAAATTTGTGTCGATTTTTTGACAATTTTAATGATGTAACCCCTTATCGTTTTTTGCAAATTTGGAACAAAATTTCAAAAAATGTTTTTCAACCGTAGATAGCTAGATCGATTCAGCTGTTGATGCTGATCATGAACATATATGATTTATGGGGTCGGAAATGACTGCTTCACAGTTTTATAAGCTTCTGACTAAACGTATAGTGCCATTTTTTCAGTCGGTATTTATTTTATAGGACAATTTTAGCAATAAATCAAATTTTAAAAAATTCATAGTTAACCCAAAAATGCATTAATTTTAATTCGGAAACCTGTCCTACTCTAGTTTTTATTATAGCAACGAAACTGCATACTCAACTAACTCGGAAATGAGTCCTTCGCAGTTCTACAAGCTTCTGACTAAAGTTATAATACCATTCTTTGAGTCGATATTTACCTATTTTATATGACAATTTTATCAATAAATCAAATTTTTAAAAATTCATAACTAAGCCAAAAGTGCATTAATTTCAATTCGGAAACCTTTCCTGTGCAAGTTTTTATTATGGCAATAAAACTGCATACTCAATTTAAAGCGTTAAAAAGTGAAAATTTGTGTCGATTTTTTGACAATTTTAATGATGTAACCCCTTATCGTTTTTTGCAAATTTGGAACAAAATTTCAAAAAATGTTTTTCAACCGTAGATAGCTAGATCGATTCAGCTGTTGATGCTGATCATGAACATATATGATTTATGGGGTCGGAAATGACTGCTTCACAGTTTTATAAGCTTCTGACTAAACGTATAGTGCCATTTTTTCAGTCGGTATTTATTTTATAGGACAATTTTAGCAATAAATCAAATTTTAAAAAATTCATAGCTAACCCAAAAATGCATTAATTTTAATTCGGAAACCTGTCCTACTCTAGTTTTTATTATAGCAACGAAACTGCATACTCAACTAACTCGGAAATGAGTCCTTCGCAGTTCTACAAGCTTCTGACTAAAGTTATAATACCATTCTTTGAGTCGATATTTACCTATTTTATATGACAATTTTATCAATAAATCAAATTTTAAAAAATTCATAGCTAAGTCAAAAATGCATTAATTTCAATTCGGAAACCTTTCCTGTGCAAGTTTTTATTATGGCAATAAAACTGCATACTCAATTTAAAGCGTTAAAAAGTGAAAATTTTTGTCGATTTTTGACAATTTTAATGATGTAACCCCTTATCGTTTTTTGCAAAAATCGAACAAAATTTCAAAAAATGTTTTTCAACCGTACATAGCTAGATCGATTCAGCTGTTGATGCTGATCATGAACATATATGATTTATGGGGTCGGAAATGACTCCTTCACAGTTTTATAAGCTTCTGACTAAACGTATAGTGCCATTTTTTCAGTTGGTATTTATTTTATAGGACAATTTTAGCAATAAATCAAATTTTAAAAAATTCATAGCTAAGCCAAAAATGCATTAATTTTATTTCGGAAACCTGTCCCACTCTAGTTTTTATTATGGCAATAAAACTGCATACTCAATTTAAAGCGTTAAAAAGTGAAAATTTTTGTCGATTTTTGACAATTTTAATGATGTAACCCCTTATCGTTTTTTGCAAAAATGGAACAAAATTTCAAAAAATGTTTTTCAACCGTAGATAGCTAGATCGATTCAGCTGTTTATGCTGATCATGAACATATATGATTTATGGGGTCGGAAATGACTCCTTCACAGTTTTATAAGCTTCTGACTAAACGTATAGTGCAATTTTTTCAGTCGGTATTTATTTTATAGGACAATTTTAGCAATAAATCAAATTTTAAAAATTCATAGTTAACCCAAAAATGCATTAATTTTAATTCGGAAACCTGTCCTACTCTAGTTTTTATTATGGCAACGAAACTGCATACTCAACTAACTCGGAAATGAGTCCTTCGCAGTTCTACAAGCTTCTGACTAAAGTTATAATAGCATTCTTTGAGTCGATATTTACCTATTTTATATGACAATTTTATCAATAAATCAAATTTTTAAAAATTCATAACTAAGCCAAAAGTGCATTAATTTTAATTCGGAAACCTTTCCTGTGCAAGTTTTTATTATGGCAATAAAACTGCATACTCAATTTAAAGCGTTAAAAAGTGAAAATTTGTGTCGATTTTTGACAATTTTAATGATGTAACCCCTTATCGTTTTTTGCAAAAATCGAACAAAATTTCAAAAAATGTTTTTCAACCGTAGATAGCTAGATCGATTCAAATGTTGATGCTGATCATGAACATATATAATATATATGGGGTCGGAAATGACTCCTTCAGTTTGTTTTAAACTTCTGATTAAAATTATAATACTATTCTTTGAGTCGATATTTATAAATATTCTTATATTCGGAATTCGGAAACCTTTCCTGTTCAAGTTTTTATTATGGCAATAAAACTGCATACTCAATTTAAAGCGTTAAAAAGTGAAAAATGTTGTTGATTTTTGACAATTTTTTTGCAAAAATCGAACAAAATTTCAAAAAATGTTTTTCAACCGTACATAGCTAGATCGATTCAGCTGTTGATGCTGATCATGAACATATATGATTTATGGGGTCGGAAATGACTCCTTCACAGTTTTATAAGCTTCTGACTAAACGTATAGTGCCATTTTTTCAGTCGGTATTTATTTTATAGGACAATTTTAGCAATAAATCAAATTTTAAAAAATTCATAGCTAAGTCAAAAATGCATTAATTTCAATTCGGAAACCTTTCCTGTGCAAGTTTTTATTATGGCAATAAAACT